TTTACTTTGCCCATCGTATTTGCGCCATTTTGTTTTTAATTATGTCTGCATATCAATTGTAGCCGAAACTTGTACGTTAATCAACCTTGACAAGGGTACCTTCGCAGCAGCTTGCAAATGGTGGTGCCGTGCGGGCCAGGGGACAGCCGCGAACTATCAAAATCGGAGTGTCGCCTTTCTGATGGTGCGATTGTCCTGCTCGACGGCCTCAACAAAGGCGATAGCATTTTGTAGTTTATGGATTTTTCCTGTGAGCGCGAGGGTTTTGTGTTTGAACTCGTAAGAAAATGAAGCCGCCATCATATGCCCTGATAACTTCTCTGATTTCTCACTCTTCAACATATCCCGTTCACTATAAGGAAGTTTCAGAATAACGTCCGTAAGCGCTTTGGGAAACCTAAAAATAGCGTCGCGATTATAAAACCTAAGGCAGCGCTAATTTTTGTTTACTCAAAGTGCTTGAGCGCGACACTGCTAGCGCGAACAAGCGATTGCAGTTTTTCGCAGTTTGTCTCAAAGAATGAAATGACTGCCATCAGTATTATTAGTGTCTTTGAAACTGCTCATCTGGGCCACTAAGCTAAGCGGTATACAACTTGGTACCTTCTAACACCATTTCGAAGTAACATTTAAACAATCGTCTACATCGTGTTCGCGGTAACATTGTCGCGTTTCGTAGTCCCACATTTTGGGGACCATCTTGACAGAAACATTTCAAGTGGTTCAAGTAGAAATATCTTTCGTTGGAGCTTGTCTGAAAGTGATGTATAGCTTAAGAATACGTTGACAATAAAAACTAGTTCACAACATAACTAAATAGCCCGCCGGCACCTTTGCTTTAATTGCATTAACAAAATTTCGGCACCTAATTTTAATGAGAAAATGTGAGCAAACCAGGGTTAGAACGATGGAGACTTTTCGCGGAGAGTTTGAGATGTGCGGGGATTTATATACCAATGGGTTTATACGGGACTGGCGCAAACGTAAAGGTGTTTCGGGAACGGGTTGAAAAGGGACAGGTTCAAATGGGAAGGGCGATTCGGGAATTCTCCTGTATGAGCCTCGGCCGGTACACGGAAGCAGTCTTCCGGAGCTGGTCGGAGCGTTCGTCACGGTGCCCCGCTGTGTGTGCCGCCGAGTGGATTTTCTGCTAGTCGCCCCATTTTTGTGCAACTTCTGTTCTTGCTAAAATCGGTGTTAGGTGCAAAGTGCTATTCATCCGATCCTATCAACAACAGGCATCGGACGGCATAAAGCAGGTCCGACCCCATCAAGCACCCTAGGCAAACTCCTGCCGTTAACGCCCCCGGCGCCCCGTTTCCTTCGCCTTTTTGTACGCTCCTCTCTACGACATCACGTAGTCAGTAAACATGTGAGTAGTAATCCAAAACGAGTATTTTTTTTCTGAAAAGAGCCGCCGTGTTTAAATAAATTAGTAAGCTAAAAAAACTTTCAAATGGGGGCGCAGCGGCGCAACCCTTTTGATGGCTTCCTGGGCGGCATCACGGGTCGCCTATCCCCGGTCCTGGTGTAAAGTCCTGGATATCGAAAAAATACGATGCTCTTTTTTTTCTTTGGGGCTAATTTGAAAGAGCAACTATTTTCTGCGGTTGCGGTCGTCACGAACGTTTACAGTTAGGGTCGATAGGTCCTTATCAGTGCTCCATTTTCTTTTTTTTTTACTAACTGTCCCTAAGCCCAGTTTGCACGCTTAATCACGCTCGGAATGTGTCGTTAGCCTACTGTTGTCCTTATTGATTTGTGTTCCCTACACCGCGGCTTCGACTTATCATGAATAGATCTATCCTTTTCACCCATAAGAGCGTCGCCTCTTTTACTATTAGTTACACTAAACTCGGTCCTAACATTTCTCCACCAGATAACCTATCCTTGTAAGTAATTTTTTTATCAATTTCTTCATGCCCGGAGTGATTCGTGACCCACCTCTAATATCCCTGCTTCAAGTGCGCTTGAAACTGGGTTTTAAGGGCTTTCAGAACAAACTCGTGAAAGAATCAGAGAAATCGGCTCGTAATCTCCACTCTGCGCATAGCTCGACAGAATGAACTGGTTCGCCGACTTTCTAAAAGAGTTAAATCGGAGAACCTTTTGCAGCATTCCCAAGAAGGGGTATACTGTAATTTAATGCATTATACCCCATTTTTTGGCAGTACCTCTAAATACTCCAAAGTGTGTATCCGTTCAGATGAGGAGAAAATTTGTCGACACCCGGTGACCTCACTCAAATTAGTGTTATATTCAATCAGTTTATTGCAAATCTCTTATGGTCGTGCAAAACATTACTACATTATTTGGGAAAAATAGAAAATAAAAGAGAGCACAGTCAATAAAACCGGTTTTCAAAATAATGGTCATGCAACAAATCTTACAAACTAATAACTCACAAAGATGTTAAACGGTTGTCTGAGTTCATATCCTCGGCCTTTCGCTGTGGAATGAGTGATATTCCAATTGGCGCAAAAGTAACATTCGTTCACTTTTGAAAGAAACCATAACGGTTTATCGTTACGTTCGAAGGACGGTAACGAATATCAGTAGCCCGTTAAGTTTTGACAATAGGGAATTGTAGTAGACCGTTTCCGCAGCCCGCTAAGCACCCGGATAGCGCTCCGTAATCCGCCACAAGACCTTGAACTATGCAGACAAGGCTGGCGGCGCGCATGCGCAGCTGCGCCGTTTTCCTCGGGGATACCGTAGCGGAGAGGAAAAACGATCTACTACAACTCCCTAATCTAACGAGTGATTCTATTTTGTTACATGCTTTCTGTAACGGGCACACCGGTGCTTGGGTCCCACTGGTGCAGAAAGCCCAACACCCAACATCGGAGCACGGCCCCTTGAAGTTCACAGTACGGTGGGAGCTACGCGTTTGACGAGCCAGACAACCAACTCGTTTTCATCTCCTGACCACGCACTCTGCGTGGATATGGCTGGGAGCACGGACATGCTCGTGCTCGTAGGTTCTACCACTAAACCAGCTTACGCCCTTTGCACCTGCCACCAATGAAAATGTTTAGCGTTCAATATAATTTTGTAAGTAATTTTGAATGAATAAATTGCACACTATTGATTTGAAGGGCCTGGTTTCAAATAGGATCTTGCTGTTATGATCGAAAACTACTAAAAACACCCACGCTGCAATGATATGAGGCACGCGCAGCATTCTACGACGTTCCGAAGAAATGCTCAATTTGAACGCGTATGTAGGTTTCGGTTTCTTATCGAAGCACATCTCTGTGCCGGCGATCCCGCCCCCCGTGTCTAAGACGCGCAACGTATGTGCGCCGCCACTCATCGCGCGTAGAGAAGTCTACATAAAAAAGCTTCCGGACAGTCATATGAGGTCCGCCTTTTTGACATCGGTGCGAGAGTGAAGACGCACCTTCACGAGCAATCCGTGGCGGTGCACTCACGTTGCGCGCTTTAGACACGGGGGGCGAGATTGCCCACGCGGAGATGCTCTCCGATAAGAAACCGAAAGCGAGATACGTGTCCAACTTGAGCATTTGTTCAGAACTCCGTAAAATGCTTAGCGTGCCTCATGCCATTTTAACATGGGTGCATTTAGTGGTTCTCAATGATTCCGAGCAATGTTATCTTTGAAACCATTCCTTTAAAACTAATATTTAACAATTTAAGTACACGGAATTTATTAATCATCCCATTATATTCAGCTCTAACAATTTTCCTTGGACAGACCGCTACGGCATCATAATTCTCTTTTGTGCCGTGCGTACTTTTTGCAGTGGAACGTTTGCCCGTTTTTTTTTTTTCTGGAAACATCGTGTATATGTTAAAACAAATATTTTATACGTTTGGGAACAGGACTCCCCCTCCTTCAATTCTGGCGCATCAGGCAATAGTGACAACCACTGTACAGTCAGAGCAGATTAAGACATATTTAGATGGTTTATACATATGTAGTTTTTAGACACATAACTATATACACAATGGAGTCAATTATGCCTTTAGTACAACACATGTATATGATCCGTCCACTACAAGAGGAATTTCGAATATTTAAAATCCTGACGAATTCAAGTGAAACTATCATCGTTTAAGCTTAGGTCCGAGCGTGGCCGATGTTATGAGGCGAAGCGCCAATCAAACAGCGAAAGAGGCACACAGCCATGACGAGTTCTCTGCAGTTCATAGGAATCTAGGAGTAGCCGGTATTCGCCATCTCTCTCTGCGTGCTACTCCATCGGCTAGTTCTATCAAGCGCAGAGAGCAGGCCATGGCGTTGCGCTTTTTGCGCTGTTTTATTGGTCCTCCGGCTCAAAACATTGTCCGCGCTCGTACCTAAGGTGAAACGAAGTATATATGAACACCAAATGAATAGCACTGAAAGTATAAATGTCCTAAATAATCAGGACCGTCTTCGTGAATGCGCAAAAAAAACCATGCAAAAGGAAAACGTACATACGAGTATTACAAGTAGCAAGCACATTGAGTGATGTCATCAGAATTCAGATACTAAAACTGGTCAAAAAGAAAAGGACAAAGAATATTACGAAATGAGATAGGAAATTACACCGCATTTCTACATCTTCGAGTCATGTATATTCATTGCAGTCCTATGAGCAAAGCATTAGTTTCCAGCTTGGCGTGTTAAATAGTTTCGAATATAGCTTTATTTCTCATCTAAAAATTATGCTGACCCCTCCTCATTACTCGGTTGCTCTTATACTTTCTTAACATTAGCAATATTCAAGATTGCTGCTGTTGAAAGACCTTAGTTATTTTATGAGTTCGTATGTTTATGGTCATGAGGAGGCCGACTTGAAAGGAACGTAAGTGACCCTACAGACAACCCAGAGACGTCAGGTGCATCACGTGATTAATGACTCTAAATTAATAAAGAAACACAAGGCTTCAAGTATTTTCTTTTTTTCGTGTACAAAAAAGGACTCTGGTAGCTTACTCTAAGGTAAATTCACATTTTTTAGCTGTGTTTACGCGATCAGTAAGAGGAGGAAACATTTTGAACCATGCGAAACACACACTGCTCGCAAGTAAAACCCCTGCAGGTCTATCGCCAAACGATATGAACACATGTCGGCGCTCGAGTATTTCGTTTAAACACCTTTCACAACTATGATGCGCGTGAGGGTTTCGATCACTTGCGATGTATCTTTCGATGATTGCATAAACCGTTATCAGACGCAAATGCTCTACCGCAGGTCTCGCACTTGAACGGCTTCTCTCCGGTGTGAGTCCTCTCATGGTTCGCCAAACTGCCTTTCTGAGTAAATGCCCTGCTGCACGTGTTGCACTTGAACGGCTTCTCTCCGGTGTGAGTTCTAACGTGAGCCGTCAAGTTACCCTTCTTCGTGAATGTTTTCTCGCAGGCACCACAACTGAAGGGTCTCTCGCCAGTGCGAGTCCTCTCGTGGATGGTGACATCCGTTGCGGAAGGGCGTGAGTAAGGACAGAAGCGGCACGGGTGCTTCTTCGGTTGTCGGTGCTTCTGCCGCTTGTGTGGGTCCGACCAGTTGGTCTGGGGAGAGGTGTCACCTCTGCGGCTGTCGCGGTCAAAAGTATCCACCTGGTCGCCATAGCCTGCTCCGTTCCAGTCTGTTGGGATGGCAGGACAAAGCGAGAAATGTTCGCGCATTTTTAATTGTTCTGAACATGGTCCAGTATACCTACATTATGCCGGTGCGGCCTACAGTGGGTATTCATTTATTTGAGATGTTAAAAAAAATCATTCGCAAAGCTTGTAAATGTCTACAGGCGATCGTTTAAGACTCGATTCTGGCAGCCCTATGGTGCGGCAGCTGTGGTGGCTTGTGCGTTCTCCTAACCAAGTGCGGAAGGGGAGTCAAGCCGCCGCGGTCGCTGCTGCACAGTGTTGGCGGTAGCGTGTTACAAGTAACGTCGTTACCGGTAACACCTTACTTTTGTTATTAACGTGTAAAGTACTCGTTACCTTTCCAAGACAGTGACGGGTAACGTACTTACGTTAGTTATTTCAAGTAACGGATAACGTAATTACGTCACGCGTTACATCTTCCGAAAACTTGAAAACGAACACCTGTATTTTTGCCAGTTTTTATACTTCGTTTTACCTGAAGTCCAGACGCAGCTGACGCTACAGGCTGATGGGAATTATCAGAGAGAGGGGAAAGGGAACCATCATGTTGTTCTTTGTGTTCCTGTACGGGTTTAATCTTCGCTGAACCAACCGTAAACATTCATGTCCCAGTGACTTGTGATTTTGACGCTGCTTGATTTGTCCCATTAGTTCGTAGCGTCGGCTGCGTCTAGATTTAAGCTGAAACATAGTATGTGACCCAAGTAATTAATTATTGCACTCATTCTACATACTTTCTAAAATTTGCCTCTTTTTCTCACGCAAAAATTTCCACTTTAGGAAATCTCCAACGCCCGCGCCCGTCATCCCGGTGTCGAAAAACGCTGTCACAAAAAAACAACAACGAAAAAAAAACGCTGTTACCGTCAATTTTTAAATACGAAGTAACGCAAAAGTAACGTGGGCTACTTTCTGTCGGTAACGGTATCGAGTACCTTTATTTCACAAGTAATGAATGACGTATCTTTCCTTTTTTTACGGTAACGCCTACAACACTGCGGCTGCATAACGCTGCCAGTAGGGAGCGCTGGGTGATAGCATGTTGACATTCATAATGATCCTGACTGTGTATTAAGTAACGCTGGAAGGGTCGTTCACACACCCACATATTATTAGGTTACACAAAATAGCATTCAATAGGCTCGTAAAATACTCGTTTTGCACCTTAGAAACTGAAAAGTTTGCTAAGGCCCACAGCGATTTTTTACGAGCAATCTGAAACTGCGAAAAACGGTGTTTTAACTCGGCACTCGAATGCACATTTGCCAATCTAAAGCTAAAGCTAGGTGACACAAATAATGTTGAGAGAAAATTCTCAAGCATTTGAAACAGCCAAACCTTTTTGGAGTATTTTATGCGTCAAACAGAATTTATAGCATTTGTGAGAGCTACTCAATCAACCGGAACTAAAGGAAAAAATACAATTTTGTGGTATAAGTAAGCAACTCAGCATGGTACATTTCTCTGATATCAAAAAATATGTATCAATTGCAACTTCGAGTGCTCGGACTGAATGTTCCTTCAGTTGAGCCCAACTTGTTTGCTTACTTTCACCATAGTTGTAGAACTCGGACTTTGGAATGTAACCCCTTTATCCCACGGGAGGAAAACTTTGTGTACCACTTCAGACTCCTGACATTTTCTACCTTCTGGAAAACCTGGCCTACAAAACGTTTTTCAATTATTGTGGAACCAACCGTTCATGAATATGTCAGGATGTGCTAAGAAGGTGCGAGGCTGGGTGAGTGTTTTCCCGTGTGCGTCTTCGCATACCTGGTGTTGTTAGTTCTCTGGGTACCATAAGATTGGCTGCAGAAGTCGCACCGCCGTCCGTCCTCCCCTCCTGGTCCATCTTCAATGGTTGCCTCTGCAATTCGGTTCTTTGGAAGGAGAGCTCCGCCCCCTTGTCCTCGCAGTCCGTTCTCTGCCATTCGGAGTCGAATGCTGCGTCGGCAAGTTCTGTTAGGAGTGAAGATCAAATTTTCTTTAGTTCCTTTTTTTATACTATACCAATTCAGAAGCCCAATCAGAACGAACTTAAGGAACAAGCAAACATAGACACATCTTGCTGATGAAGTAAAGAAATTCAGGGGTTTACATTCCTATTGCGGTGTAATTCAATAAATAAAATAACGACATCACGAAAAAGCACGGGCATCAAACTGAATATTGAAATTCCCGAAAAACATTATTGCAAAAATTGCACGTGAATCATACATAAAAAAAGTGAAAGCCGTTTACAACTCCCTGTAATGCCGAATTGGAGCACAGCTCTTGAGGAGGAGGAGGGGAAGGTACTGAGGGGAGAGTATGCCCCTCCTCCTCCTTCTCCTCCTCCTCCCCTCATTCTTTAATATGCTCCGGGGGGGTCACCTGACCACGGGGCAGACTTGTACGTAACGGGTTACAAGTAATTGATTACTTGTAATCAATTACAGTTAAGTGTAATTTTGTAACGCTTCAATTACATTTAACGCTCGGAGTATTTCAATTACTTTTTTTCTGTAATCAATTACAAAATCAATTACACAATTACCAATTACATTTTTCATCCCACAATTCTTTTTTTCTCACAAAAATCAGTATAGTCACTCAGCCATGGAGCGAAAATGATTGACATTTTTTTAACATCTAAAAAAAATAAAACTTGGATTAGTCGGCAAATCCTTTTTTCTTTTACGCCACGCTCTTCTACAAGCGCGCCACCAGCCTTGGCTGGGGAGTTCCGGATCTCGTCGCAGATTGCTGATAAAGTCGACGGGAAGCGGGAACTCGCTATTGACTTTTTAGTGGGCTTTGTTCCTTAGGTCGACGCGTCAGCTACACGACAAGGTCCGGGTCTGAAAACAAAAAAGGGAACAATAACCAAACAAAATTGTGTACGCGATATTTTACTGTGTATTTGTGTATTTCTGTCATCGCAATAAGAAGTAACGTGAAAGTAACTTGAAAAGTAATCAATTACTTTGCAGTAATTGTTCAATTACTTCTGGGAGGCAGTAATCAGTAACGGTAATCGGTTACTTTTTTTACTGTAGTAATTGTAATTGTAATCAGTTACTTTTTTTCAGTAACGTGTACAAGTCTGCCTCGGGGGGAGGGGGTCACGTGACCTGGGGGAGGGGGGGGGGGGGTGTCGCATGACCTTGGGGTGACCTTGGGGGTCACGTGACCTTGTGGTGACTTTCGTTACGCCGACGGCGACGCCGCTCAAGCCGGAAACGGGCGCCTAAGAGCTGCATTCTCAAACGATCCTTATCTATTAAATATGTACTTCAAAGGTTTCACTTCACCTTAAACATGCGGTAAAGGATTACGCCGATACAGTCTCACACAAATTGACAAAGACACAGGTAAATAAAACCAAGGAGCGTGGTTTAGATACGTCACTCCTGCTCTGTAGTGCTGAAAAAAAGGCAGGCATGCCACAGAACCAACAACAGTACGGTATATCACCGCCAAAGATTTTGGGAATTACACGTCAAATAAATGGGCACGGTGCGTCGGCAAGGAAGGTAGGGAAGCGAATAAAAATGTCGCATGTAGTTGGCTGAGCTGTGGCCATTCCTAATTTTATCCGGCTAGTTGGTTCCGGTTTTCTGGGGGAAAATGTAGCCCTCAAGTTGAGCTGGCTGGTGGCTGACCCTCCTTCCTAGGCAGCGAAGGGTTGCTCGCATTTGCATTAAGAGCATTTCCGGTCAGCTCGGCCTGCAAAGTGTAGATTAATGAGTATTAATAAACAGTCGCCAACACAAAGTTACTTTACCTGCCCTCATATATCGTCATATGCGATGAGCAAAGGCTATAACTGAAGGATGCCAGTGCTTGGAATTGGTCTAGTGGGCTATTCATTAGTTCATTAAACTGCGCAGTAAATGATTACGAATTACGACGCAGAAACGAGAAAAAAAGAAGGCAACAAATGGGAAAACGCGCATTTGCAGTTCAGTTTAATCAAGTAAAAAACTGAAGGCCAGTTTCGAGATTAAACAGGGCATGGATAATTACACCACTTGTCAGTAGGAGGGTACCTGCGAGACATTTCAATACGAAGGACGCGAACAAAATAAGTACTATGGGACTACACCATTTCCAAGGGTGAATGTTTTGGCCAAACAGCACTGACAATTTCTATTTCCACGAGAGATGTTTCATTATATATGCAGCGTCAAACCACTAGCGAGGAGGAAAATGCTTGCCGGTTCCGTCTGTGAAGCATCCACACGACTAATGCCACCATTTATAAAATGATATGCAGTGTAGATCAATCAGTCAGCCTCGCATTTTGCCAAACACTAACATAAGCGGGACCCACTTAGGAAGAACGAGTTTTAGCTGAGATACTCAATAGGTTCACGTTCACGAGTTCCCCATTGAAGCGCATCATAAGTATAAATTGATCACCATTCAACACCAGTACAAAGTTTCCAGTCCTCATTGCGCAAATGTTTGTTTTCTCCTTTTTATCTCTTCCAACTCAAGACAAGCTTGAGTGGCCTTCTCCTCTTGACCCTAAGAGAAGGTGAAGCGCTTCTTCCGAAAATAGAGATAGAGGTTGATTTCTGCGTTGTTTGATCCCGTAATTCTGAAGATATCGCTTGTTTTCCCCGAAGATGTAACTAAACGCGAGAACACACGAAAGACCTCCGACCAGTCTTTACGTCATAAAAGGATCTTTCGGCCGACAAGCGCGTGTCGCTCGTGAGCAGTCGCAGGCTTGCCACACCCCCGCACTGGCAGCAATCACGGCGTCTTTTTTTATTTTTAAAAATAGCAAGAGTTGCGTGCGTAACTTCGATAGGCACTGAAGATACGCGAGAGCGGAGATTCCGGAAACTCCTGCTATGATGGCACGCTCCGGGAAGGAGGGGCTTCAGCAGTACTTTGAAAAGAGATTATCTGCTGCCTTTGTGCATGAAATTGGAAAATAATTTCAACATTGGGCTTCCTGAAGGGCAAGTGTGTTTCCTCAATTACAAAACCGCTTCAGCTTCCCTTTGAAGACGTCTTATCTTCAAGACAGACTTGTACGTAGTTCAACTACTCTACTCAAGTTAGTGTAGTTTAACTACTTTTCAGTGTAGTTTAGTAACTGTCAATTACATTTTTATTTCGGTAATTAGTAGTTTACTTTAATTACTTTTTTGAGTAACTTCTACACAAGTTACAAATTAGTTTCGAATTCTAGTGGTTGTTTTACCTATCAAAAACATTCCTGCACAATAGAGATAAGATGTTGGAAGATCAGCTGATATTTGCAAAGAGGGGGAGGCATGTAGCGTAGGAAGGGAGGGGGGCAGAAAATGGTCTGGAGAGATCGAAGCCCCCCAAAATTTTCACAAGCCCCCTCTCCCCCCCCCCTCCCCCCGCACACACACACAATGCAACAACACTGCTACGAGGCGCGGGGAACGAACAGACCCAATGCAAGAGAGGCCGAGTAAAGGCGGGATTACCGCCGAAGACTTGCGTTTCTCTGTGTCCCGAAGCTCAAGGAGACTTGACCCATTTGAAGTAACGGCTGGTCTCCACTTGTCCCAAACGTAGGAACTCTCGCCCACTACAGGAGGGGCACACACTGCTTCCTCACTCAAAGGAGGCAACAAAATGCAGCACCTGCTCGAAACTCATCTGGTGCTCCCGTAGTTTGTGCTGTACTCAAAGAATCGCGTGTACCTGTAGTAATTTTCCCATCGTTTTTATATAAAAAATAATAAACAAGCAGTGTTGGGAAGTACTCTATGTAGATGGTACTTAAGGCACTACTGTTTAGAAAAACTTGTACTTTAAGTAAATTCTTTGAGCATTTTCTTGTATTTTCCGAGAAAAACTCCCGACTTCAATATACATTCCCCGAATAAGAAAACAAAAAATGGCGGTATCGTCGTGTGAAAACGCGTTCTTTCGAGACGTCATCTGGTCATTTCTCTGAGTGAACTAATGGCGGCTGTAAGACCGATGGAAATAAGTGCCTTATAAGTTGATTGTGTCAAAAAGCTCGTCAGCGAGAGTAAAACAACTACTCTGTGGCGACTTGACCTTATACAATATTTGCTGCCCTTTCCGTAAAAAAACCGATGCACCTCCGATTACACCCCTGGAGCAATGCATACCAGTTCAAAAAACACTGTATAGGGAGTGAGAGAGCATCATGAAAGATTGTGTTAAAAGTGCTTATACTTTACCTTAAAGTGTATTGTATTTATATATGTTGCTTCAAGTAGATTGCACATGATGTACTTACTACTTTACTTGAAGTACATAACAGGCCATCATTTACTTTGTACTTTACTTCAAGTACTTTTTAGATGTACTTTACGCAACACTGTAAACACGCAAGCGCTGTCTAAAAAGCCAAGCTCAGACAGTGCTGAACCTTAAAGCGGGGCGCTCAAAATTTTCTTCAGCGTGGCAGAAGATTCCCTCTCGTTTCTTTTTTTCCTCCTCCCCTTCCCTCCTCCATTTTTCTCCTCGCTTTTTACGGCCTTCTCGCACGAGTGCTAATGGGCATACCGGCCCCCCGACAAAATCTTTGTAACCCGTCAAGGTTCTCTGCTTCAATCCCAAACATCACGGATTAGTTCGGCAGGCTGGAATGAGCTCGGAAGGGTTCGGGCTAACTCGCTTTTCTCCTTTTTTTTTTTTTTCTTTTTTTTTTTTTACTCTTTTGCAGCGCCTTTAAAACATACTCAGATAGTCAACACCAACTAGCCCAAGAACAAGTTCTTTTACATTCAGATACTTCCGCATGCTGCCACATACGCTAAAACACTGCATACTTATCTCGAGTAAACGGAACTTGAACATCACAGCAGAAATAAAAAAGATGGGTATTTTTATCTAAACTTTGAGCTCTACCCAGAGAGTTGAAAATTGGTCGTCGTAACAACGGCGCACTGAAGAGTGATTTTATCACTATTGTGTTTTTGTTTGTTTTTTGTACACACCAATAATGAAGAGTAATTACAAGTCAAAGGTATTGCAGTCAGAGGGACGCAGTCTGACCATTTCTGGGGCATAATAGGTTCGTACCACAGTTTTTTTCTAGAG